ATCAGGAAAACTGGTCTGTAGTTCTCCTTTTTAGTGGGGTCTTTGTCTGGTTTTGGAATCAAGGTGATGCTAACCTTGTAGAATGAGTTTAGATGTTTTCCTTCCACTTCTATTTTTTGGAACAGCTTCAAAAGAATAGGTGTTAAGTCTTCTTTAAATGTTTCATAGAATTCCCCTGGAAAGTCATCTGGCCCTAGACTTTTGTTTCTTGGGAGACTTTTGATTACTGATCCAATTTCTTTACTGGTTATGGGCCTGTTCAAATTTTCTGTTTCAGTTTTGGTAGTTTATATGTTTCTAGGAATTTGTCCATTTCATCCAGATTGCCCTTTTTATTGGCATATAATTGCTCATAATATTCTCTTATTATTGTTTGTATTTCTTCAGGGTTGATTGTGATCTCTGCTTTTTCATTCTTGATTCTAATTATTTGGGTCCTTTTCCTTTTTCTTTTTGATCAAACTGGCTAGGGGATTATCAATTTTATTAATTCTTTCAAAGAACCAGCTCTTAGTTTCATTGATCTGTTTTACTGTTTTTTTCATTTCAATAGCATTGATTTCTGCTCTAATCTTTATTATTTCCTGTCTTCTGTTGGTTTTGCATTTTATTTCCCTTTCTTTTTCAGCCTGTAAGGTTTAAGATTAGGTTGTGTATCTGAGACCTCTCTTCCTTCTGTAGGAAGGCTTGGATTGCTATATACTTCCCTCTTATGACCCCCTTTTCTGGATCCCAGAGTTTTTGCACTGTGGTGTTATCATTTTCATTGGCTTCCACGTACTTCTTAATTTCCTCTTTAACTTCTTGGTTAACCCATTGATTCTTTAGTAGGATGTTCTTTGGTTTCCAAGCATTTGTTGTCTTTCCAATTTTTTTCCTTATGATTGATTTAGAATTTCATAGTGTTGTGGTATGAAAATATGCATGGCATGATCTTGATATTTTGTACTTGTTGAGGGCTGATTTGTGACCCAGTATGTGAGCTATTCTAGAGAAAATTCCATGTGCACTGGAGAAGAATGTATACTCCGCTGCTTTAGGATGAAATGTTCTGAATATATCTGTTAATTCCATCTGGTCCAGTGAGTCATTCAAAGCCATTGTTTCCTTGTTGATTTTCTGTTTAGATTGTCTATCCATTGATATAAGTGGGGTGTTGAAATCACCTACTATTATGATATCATTATTAATGAGTTTATGTTTGTGATTATTGATTTATATACTTGGGTTCCCCATGTTGGGGGCATAAGTGTTTAAAATTGTTAGATCTTTGTGGATAGGTTCCTTAATTATGCTATAATGCCCTTCATCCTCTCTTGTTATAGTCCTTATTTTAAAATATAGATTGTCTGATATAGTATGGCTACTCAGGCTTTCTTTTGGCAACCATTAACATGGCAGATGGTTCTCCATCCCCTAACTTTCAATCTGAAGGTGTCTTTCAGTCTAAAATGGGTCTCCTGTAAATAGCATATAGATGGATCTTGTTTTCTTATCCATTCTGTTACTCTGTGTCTTTTGATTGGAGAATTTAGTCCATTGATATTTAGACAGAGTACTGAAAGATATGAACTTATTGCCATTATGTTTCTGTATCCAAAAATAAGGAAAAAAATGAATAGTTGGACCAGCGAACAGAATGAGTTCCAGATGAAATTACATCCAGTTTCCCCTGGAAGTCAAACTATGAAGCACTTTATAATCCATACACTAACCAGGGGGAGAGACTTGTGGTCATCCTCTGGGGCTGGGTTGGCTCAGTTGGATGGGGCTTGGTGTAACAGCTCCATTCTTCACTAGGTGGTGCTGCTTAGCTTATTGGGGTGGATCAGTATGGCATGTGTACATGTATATGTGTATGTGCAGGACAGGTGAAAATGGCATCACCCAGCTTCCCAGTCTGCAGCATCAGAACTCTGTGCTTTTGCCAACCAGCAATCAAGCATCCCTCCTTTGTCCCCAGCTTCTGTCCAGTCCCTGATTCTACACTGTTCATGACCAAGACATCAGCCTGCCAAGTGGCACCTCCCTCCCAAATTTTATCTCACTTTATGTTATATCTCACATATGAGAGCCCGGTGGCTTGAACCCACTCTGACCTCCAGGGGAGGGTCTCACCGAGCAATGGCTGGATGCTGGCCTGCCCCCCAAATGCTCATGTGACTTCACTGCTGCAGAGACTCAGAGACTGTGGCCGGGTTCCAGCCTGCCCCAGAAAAAATTTTCGTGATTGTGTAGCAGTAACAGTTCTAGGACTATGGTAAATCATAACACACATCTGGTGCCAGGCTTCACTGCACCCTAGTGTCCTTGTTCCAACACTGCAAATGTGGCTGTAATCCAGGTTCTGCTGGGATCTTCTTTGCCTGTGGGGAGGCTGCACGGCTTCTACCAAATGTCCTCCTGGCAGGGGAACTCTCTCTCCCTGTGTGGCTCTTGGACTCCTTGGACCTTGCTGTCTGCTTTTGGGGATTCACCTTTCCCATCACAGCACCACTACATATTGAACTACAGAGTTTCTGACTCTGTGCTCCCCTGTTTCTAGAGTCCTAATGGTATTGAAACCCTCTCCCTTCTCCTTTCTCCCTTTCTGTTCAGTTTCTTGTGGGTGTTTCCACCCTTTGTCTTTCTCTGCAGATGCTTTTGGGATAGTGCTTTTCCTGTATTCTCCCCACTGTATCTGTCTTCTCTCTGCAAAAAAAAAAAAAAAAAAAACAACTCCATACCCTCCATGGCTTCTCTCTCCTACAGTTCACCTCTCTGCACCACGTACCAGCCAAGTTCTGTGACTCAAGTTATGCAGATTGTTGTGTTAGTCCTCAGATCAATTTTCTAGGTGTGAAAAATGGCTTGGTGCTGATCTAGCTGAATTTCAGGGATGAAAAAAGCAGAGAATTTCCATGCTATCCCACCATCTAGGCTTCCTCTCTCTTCTCTTTTTAATATTCTTGAGTCGGGTTTTGTGAGAAAGAATATCAATGCCCTTTAGGCAAAGACCACCAGAAACACATGTGGGATTGACAAATTGGGTTCATTATTGACAAATTGGGATAACATTCAGCCTGGGGAAATGTGGGGTGTTTCAATAAAAGGATGTTAAAATTACTGTGGATCTAGGCTGTGGTTGAGTAATTCTGGAGGCAAGTGAGAGTTTACTATGGATTGGGTGTTATATAGATTTGGGGTTGATTGGGTCAGAAAGCAAGGATAATTCCGTGACTGGGTATCTTAACAAATCTCTATGGGGAGGGCAGAATAGAATGAGGATAAAGCTGTCACAAGTAAAGAAGCAGCACTCATTTTAGCCAAGGGAGGGGATGTTTGGTATTCTATGGGTTGCCCAGTGACTTTTTGTTTCACTTTATTATGGTTTCGAATGACCTCATATCATGTTAATGTTCTGTGAGATTGTTTGTGTCCAACAGGCAAATAATATGGACTGGGTAAAAGCAACAGGCCAGGTTGTAGTAACACTGAGTGACACTTAGCTTTGAAATCAGACTAGTTCCCTGATGTCAGGGACTTCTTTTTTGTTTATTTGTCTATTTTTTGCTTTTCTTCAAAGAATTTCTAAATTCCCTAACATTACATTAACATGTCAAGAGCTGAAGTTTAGACCAGGGGATATTGATAACCATATAAGTGCTAGAGCAGAGCAAGGTTAGCCGTTCCTCTAAGACAAAGATTCTTAACCTTGGCTCCACATTGGAATCACATAGAGAGTTTTATAAATACAGATGCAGGGGTCCCCGGCTGGCTCAGTTGGTAAGGCATGAGACTTTCGATCTCAGGGTTATAAATTTGAGTCCCACATTGGGTGTAGAGATTACTTAAGAATAAATTCTCTAAAAAAAAAAAAAAATACAGATGCATGGGTGGCACCCCCAGAGGTTAATCTAATCGGTATGAGGTCTTGCCTAGGTATTAGCAACTTTAAAATCTTTCCAGTGATTCTGACGAGTGCCCATTATTCAGAAGCACTGTCCTAGGAGAAGTCCGTGCCATTAGGGAACAACACTGTGATAGATGGATCATATTTGCTCTTAGTTAACATCAAACTGTTTAGGAAATGTTATCAATGTCACCCACTAACTTGCCCACTGTTACTCCAGAACCAAACATCTTGGAGCAAACAAACTTCACCAAAAAAGGAAAAGTATTTTTCGCAACATAAACATTCTTACATGCTTGCAGAATTTAAAACAGTTAAGAAGTCTATTTTTCAAACTAAAAGTAGGGATACATGTTCCCATAAGCATTTTTCTCATTTTTAAAATTGTTTATTTGAAAACTTTAGTAAGCGCTTACACATTTAACCTTAATCAATTCCTTTCAGGAAAGAATAAAATTACTCCAAATCTTAATTATCCTTGAAATTCAGGGATCGAGTTCAACATAATTTCACTATCTGGCTGTAAATATGTGGTGAATACTCAGTTGGGCTTTTTCAACCTATACTCCAAATTTTCCTAACAAATCTCTCACCGAAGGGGAGATCTCATTTTATGTTAACATGTAAATGTTAATATGCCTGTAGTTTTTAATATTTTAAAAGACACCGGTAAAGAAGTAGCAGTGAGACTAGACAGATTTTGCATGTAATTAAAACTCTTCTTCAGCTTAATGAAACCGACTTTTGACAGCTTTGGAGAAGTTTATGAGTCTGTGTCTCATCACGGAAGAAATACTGGTTTGTCTTGAAATTACCAGCTAGGTCTCCTACATTAATTTTTCAACGGATTCGACAAAAACCTTTGTGTGTGGAGGTCATTAACGAAGGCTCTCTCAAAACTGGCCTGTATGTTGTCCTCAACAGTCAGCCTTAAGAGATTCCCTTTGTCATGGAAAAGTGTAAGTCAGACTCCCCTCCCCCCCCCCCCCCCCCATGGGAAGTCTTTCTTCCTTCTTAGTCGCCCTTTCCAGGACTTGGCTGACAAGAGCATCCTGAAGAGGGCGCTGTGGCATCCCAGTTATCTTCACACCTGCCAAGCTCCGGCCCCATGGTTCATGACAGAGGCGATGCACCGCTGGGGTTGGCTCCAGTAAACTGTCCTGCCACACCACACAGCAGCCCTCTTACTCACGGACTCGGGGGGGGGGGGGGGGGGGAGGTGGCGTTCCGTCGCCCTCCTAATGCCTCCCCACTCCCAGGGAGTCCTTCCTCCCTCTCAGCTCAGCTCCACTCACCCGAGGAGAGCGACCGCGGATGGCATCAGGGTGCTTTCCGCTCAGTGCCCCAGCAAGGCAAAGGGAACGAGCACAAGCCAGGTAAATAGTCTGGAGGGATGATACGGGAGGAGTGATGGGCAATGGAGGATGATATGGGCAGGGGCCAAGGGGCAACCATTCCAACTGGGAAGCTTGTTGGCCTTGATTTCGCTGCCGCGGGAAAACGGAAAAGGTGGAAACTTGAGGAGGGAATGGCTGGCTGAAACCGGTAGCTGGAATACCGCGGGAGCATTGGCTCCTCCTCTAAGGTAAGGCTGAGGCGGAAACTCCAGAGGGAAAGGGCAGCTTCCTGAAAGGGAAATTAGGGGAAGCTCACCGTGCCGAGCCTCAGGAAGAGTATCCCAGAGGGATAAATGAGAAGTGGAGACAAGTTATATTGCGTTCACTCCAGAACAGCCACAATCAACCGCAACCTCGGTGGCAGTTAACTTGTTCCAAGCCCCGCCCCTGGTCTGCACCCATTGGCTTCAAGGTCATAGCTCCTGACCTGATTGGCTGATGACCCGCACTAGCTGATGCTCCTCGGCACCATTTCCCCTGCACTACCAAGGCGAACTTTGAAGTTTTAAGGCCAAGTTTATTTTAAAATAATAATAAATAGATAAATAAAGGTGAAAAGGAACCCCAAGGATTTTATTGCTATATTAATGTAATGTTTTGGAACAATGGATTTCTGGCAAAGAGCCGATGGACACTGCTTTCCTAGAATTCTGGAAGAAGTGGGTTTCTTGGATAAAACAGGGTGGTAGAGATTTTGAAGTAAGAGGAGGCAGATTGCTAGATTAGAGAGGGAGATACAGAATCTGAAGCAGGCTCCAGGCTCTGAGCTGTCAGCATAGAGACCCTTGGGGGGGGGGGAGGGGCTCGAACGCACAAGCCCTGAGATCATGACCTGGGCCAAAGTCAGGTGTACTTAACCGACCGAACTACCCAGGTGCCGGCATTCCTACACTGTGAAGTCCCACTACCCCCCTCTCCTTAGTTCAAGATGACAGGATATCTCATTTTACCTGTCTTTGAATGTCTATGTCTGCATGGATTCCTTATACATATGAAATTAGGTTTGATTTTCTCCTTAATCTGTCTCAGATTAAAAGTCAATTAAGATTGATTTTTTTCCAGCTAGAAGGGCCTTGGAGGGCAGAGAGAATTCTTCTTCCTTGACAGTATTAAAACCTGTTTACTTCTAATTCTTGATGAATTGTTTGTTTAACACATGTCCCTTCAGAGTTATTTTGGTGCATTAGTAAACGCCACAAGAGTGGCCTAGCCTGTGTACTATAATCATTCAGTAGAAGCAAAGTCATGATCACTTTTGACTGAGATAGTCAGTGAAGGTTCTCCAAAGGAGACAGAATTTGAGCCTTATTAAGACAGGCAGGAACTGGTTGAATGGATGAGTTTAGTGAAGAAATGTGGGTCTCTGGCAAAATAAAAATCACCTTACCTGCATTATTTGTATATACATGGGAGCCTTCAAGAATACAGAGATAAGTGATCTAGACAGTTATCAAACGTGTAGAATGTGATGTGGGGCCACTAATGAGTGGTCAAGAAAGAATTCTTGACACTTTTTGGTGCAAAAGCTGCTTTTATGATAGCCTGGGGACAGGACCTGTAGGCAGAAAGAGCTGCACTGAGGTTGGAGGAGTGACTGATTATGTACTTTTCTAGTTAGTGGGGGTTAGAGATGGCACAAGTCTCTAAGGAATTTGTGCACGTTAAAAGCAAGGTCTCCAGGAGCTTGGAGGGCTAGCTATAGTTAAGATAAGGTTGCTTTTATTGTTGTCTAGTAAAACATTAGTCATGAGACTCATCAAATGTGTATTAGTGGGTCATATGTTTGAAAGTTGATTGCTAATATATATCTTGAGGGGGGGCAGTGTTTATGGTTCTTAGAGGGAAGTAACACTAACAAGAGCAAAGCTGTAACTTTAAAGAAGTCCTTGAGGGACCTGTAGGAGTATTGTAATCTGTATGCCTCAGGCTCAGGACTCCTGCCTGGAGACCTGGAGCTGCAGCAAAGCCCAACCTTTGTCCTTTTTCTCCTGTCAGTATGTAGAACATAAAAGCAGTTATGTTAATCATTGTTGAAGGAGGTCATTGAGAGGGTATGGCCACTGGTTAACCCTTAAGCTGGACCCAGGCTCCTCACTCCCTCCCCTGTCCTTGGAATATACATTCTGCCCGCTGTTCCCACAGTAGGAGCCATTTGTAAGGATGCAGCCTGAAGAGAGTAATGTGTGTTAAGACTACCTGAACAGTATGTGTGACAGAACCCAGGTGAGCCCTCTGTGTAAACTTTTAGGACTCTGGCAGGTGGGTACAGAGATCTATGTATCTTGCGACTGCCTAAGAAAGCCTTGTAAGTAAGTTGTCTGCTTATTAAACCTGCTGCCTACGAATCTGGACTGGCTGCCTCTATTTTCAATCTCTCCTTGCTCTCCAAATACAGGGGCCCGTTTCAGAGTTCACTCTGGAAGCTCCCCAGTTTGCAGACCAGCAATTATTCATGCAAGGAAATAATGAACTTTTTTTTGTTTTGTTTTGTTGTTTAGAATTAGAGGTTGGCACAAACAAGGTAGTGTCTTAGCAGATTTTGATAGATAAACTAAGGTTACATATACATGGACTTTTGTGAAATACTATGATGTGTTTGGGACACTCTCCATAGTTTACTGTAGTGGGCAGTGGAATAATATCATTGGTCTTGATAGACAGGTAGAAGATTGTCTTTTTCTTGAGGAAGCTAAATAGTAAATACAATGGAGATAAAGATAGATCAGGAAGCTGAGGAATGTAGTTAAAAAAAGAAATCTCAAGAGATCAATGATTCTGGATTCCACGGATGTTCAATGGATGGCCATTAGAATGTATTAAAAAGTGAAATGGAAGAAAATCTTTAAAATATTTTTTTTGGTTAAGTTTTAGCAGGTACACATACACACACATGAACATATATTAGTTTCACAACTTTTAATTTTCACATATATATCAACCCGTGAAACTACAGCCCATAGAAAGACGCAGAGTATTTTCAACAACCTAGAATATTTCCTGTACTTTTTCCCAGTCAGTATCCCTTTCCCAGAATTACCTTTATTGGATTTGTATTACCCTTTAATATTTTGCCTATTCTTACATTTTCTATAAACATAATATGTATTGTTTTGCCCCTGATTGCCTCCATTCATTATTATTTTGTGAGATTCATCCATGACATAGTTTTCTTCTTTCTGTTTTAGTGCTGCATGGTATCTAATCTTATGAAGAGTACTATAATTTACTTATCTTTTTTAGAATTGATACCATTTGAATTGTTTTGAGTTTTGGCTGCCATAAATAAGGCTTCTATCACATTTTTGCATATGTCTTTTGGTGGGCATATTAATTTATTTCTCTTGGGTGTATATACCTAGGTATATACACCTTGGGTGTATATATCTAATATATATTAACTCCTAGGTATATACACCCAAGTCAAAGGGCATGCAAGATACAACTGTGGCAGATAACTGCCAAGATGATGGTGCCAATTTAAACTCTCACCACTCTTTTTTTTTAATGTTTATTTATTTATTTATTTATTTATTTATTTATTTATTTATTTAAAGAGTGAGAGAGAGAGAGAGAGACTGAGCAGGAGAGGGATGGATGGGGGCACAGAGGATCCAAAGTGGGCTCTGCACTGACAGAAATGAGCCCGATGCTGGGCTTGAATTTACGAACCAAACTGTGACATCATGGCCCAAGCTGAAGTCAAGACGCTCAACCAACTGAACCACCCAAGCCCCTAAACTCTCACCAGTCTTGCCAACACTTGGGATTGACAATCTTCTAAAAAAAATGTTGGTTATTGTTTTGGATGTTTGGTATTATTGTATTTGTATATTTCATTTTCATTTAGCTGATGAATGACAATGTTGAGCACTTATCTTTTCATGTGTTTTTTGACCACTTGAATGTTCTTGTTTATGAAGTGCCTGTTTAAGTCTCTTGCCTATTGTTAAAAGTTGAATTATGTGGGACTTCCATATCCCAAAGATAGAGTCTGTGTACGTTTTCCTATCCCTCCCAGTAAGTACAACTAAAAGCCCTGGACATTATATATAAAACAAACATGAGAAAGAATCTTAAAGATGAAAGAAAGGAAGGCCAGATAGGGACCTTGAGACTTGAATAGCTGCACTGAGATGAGTTCCTTGGGTTTTCTTTTTGCTTCATTTTATCTCGGACTGGGTACTACAGAAGCTGGAAAAATGGAAATGCCAGTAAGTACAGATTTTTAAAAGACTTCAAAAAAAAAAAAAAAAAAAAAAAAAAAAAAGCCTGTTCTTTCTAGCCATGTGGCCAGGAACGGATAATCTAACAAGACAGAAAATGTTTACCAATAACTGCTTTACTCCAGCCAAACTCCACAGGGAAACTTGAGCCATCCCCTCCCTCACAGACAAACAAATACACACACCAGCAAGAACTGAGTGGAAAGCCTAGACTTGACCCATGCCAGACCTCACATGGTGCCAGAAACCTGCCCCCACTCCCATCCCTACAGAAGAGGGTAGCATCAGAAAAGGTCTAGTGGGAGCTAGGAATTGTATACCCACCTTGCAATAAAGAGGTGCCTCGGGCCCCCATGACTCCATGGAGACCATATTGGAGCCTGGACTTCCACTCCCAACCAGTCAAATCAGGTACCCCTTGTCCTCTTTACTGGGGTGATGTCAGAGGAGGACAAATAGAAAGTTTGGACATTCATCACCATTCAGCTATAAAAAGGTTACTTCTCATGGTATAAGTGGAGGAACATCAAGAAGAAGGGTGCCATTACTACTTCTTAGCAATAAAGAGACATTTTTCCCTAGCTCTGTGTTAATGAAGACTGAGTATAGAACTTGAGCTTCCATTCTACCCTGCCAGTAACAAGATAGTATCCTCACTTTTGCTAGAGCAGTGTTAGTGAAGGTCTGCTAAAACATGGGATTTAAATATGGTCCAGTCTTATAATATTCACAATGTTCAGTTGTCAGTTAAAAATT